CAGCAAAAAATGGCGCGAGAAATACTCTCAGCGAATTGGATGCGAGTTTGAGATCAAGCTGTGGCCATTGAGCATGGCCAGCAATGGCACGTTGTCTCCTTTTACGATGGTGATCACAATTATGAGATTGCAAAGGAGCTCTCGTCGTATCCAATGCCTCGTCAGCTCGATGGGAAGCAGCACGAAATTGTTTTTAGCATGATCAAAGGGCACGCCAGTAATACTGTAATTGTGTCATACCTTGCTGCCAACAATACGGTTGTCGACCCCAAGGATATCACGAATATGCGACAGATGGTGTTCAACAACGATCCTGATCATACCATGTTTAAGCTTATCAGCAAGCTATAGGGCAAGGACTACGTTGTTGAATGGGAGTCCAAGCAAGATGGGGGAAATGGGTTCTTGCACTCTCTCTTTTTTGCTCATCATTCAGCAATATTACTTGCTCGCCAATTCCCATGAACCATCATCATGGATGCCATGTACAAGACAAACAGACATTGGCTCCCTTTTTTTAATTTCGTCGGTACAGGCAATGTTGGTTATCCAGAGTTGAAAACTTTCTGTATTGCTGATGGATGGCTGTCTGAAGAAACGAATGACAGCTACGATTAGTTTGTCAAAAAGCTTGAGCAGGTTGTTTGACCAGCCGAGCAGCTAGTGTCCCCAAAAGTCTTTGTGACCGACAGCAAACCCGCGTTGATGAAAGCCTTGGACCATGTCTTTCCCAGCTCTAAAAAATTGCTCTGCACTAACCACATCAGACGCAATTTTCAAGTCAAGCTCCAAAAGGTTTTTGAAGTTAAAGAGGACTTTGAGGCGCTCCTGAAAGCCATCAACTACCTGATGGCTGACGAATATGATGATAAGTTCTAGAACAAGTAGTTGGTTCCAGATGAGGACTTTGAACAAAAGGCGATCGGCATGTACAATGAGGCTGCAATGAAAGCCAAAAAGCCGGAAGAAGTGAAAGTATATCTCGAGAGGTAACTATATATTGGACTCTTATCAGAGATCGTTTGCTTAGACACTATACTTATGTGTAATACTTTCGCTTGCAGTAAGCTTTCTAATAAGGAAAAGTGGGTCGGCCGATACCTTGCAGACGTCAAGCATCTTGGGAACAGTACCACCAACAGAGTTGAAGGAGCGCACGCCAATATGAAGAAGATCATAGAACAGTCCGCCAGTGGTAATCTATACCTTGCTTTTGAGCAAATTGATAAATTCTACAGATTAAAGGTATATATATGTTAGTTAACATTTATATACAATCCTATTCTATGCACATTAATTGCTGATCGTGTTTGCTATGTGTTGATTTTGCCTATGCAGAATGTAAGTTATGATCGTCAATTGGATAGCGAACATTTCGGTGTAAACTCTCATATCCCGCCAAGTCAAAAGGAAAGGCTGGTAGATTTAGAGTGCCACATTTTGAAGTTTGCCTTTAATGCAATTTGCAAGGAGCTTGTATATACAAATCCGCTATGACAAGAACCGACAACTGTCGATGTGCAATCAAAATTCATTACGGAATTCCTTGCTGTCACATGATACCATCCAAAGGAAAAATTCCTTTCAGCATTATTCCCAGACGACTCTTACTCGCTATACTAAGCTGTGGTAACTTTATGTAGAGGAAGAAACAGTTCACAGTAGCAGCAACATTCTAGCGATCTCGCTATCATATTCTGCTCCCACCATGGAGAGTCAAATCGAGGCTGAGCTCACGCGTATCACCACTATGTTGCATCGATTTCCTGACCAAAAGCAACGCTCAACTCTTCTACGTCATTTGGAAGCCATCAGCGATGATCTTTTTATGGACATCAAGCAACTGGAGCAGCCAAAATCTCTACCAACGAAAGGCAAACCTAAGCGCAGCTCAAAGCGCGATGTTATTGCTTTGGAACACCAACAGAACGAAAGCAACAAGAAAGCCAAAACAAACGTGGGTCGCGAAGCAGCCAATATCTTGTAATTAATAGTATAATCATTGCTGTAATCGATCTTCTATTGTTATTACACATACAATACTGACTAGGTTTACTAAGCCAGGGCAACCATAAAGCTAAAGCTGACATCACTACCATACCACAACCGCCACCGCCACCACCACAACAACAACAACTTACAATGCCACTTTTTGGTCATCCTTTTTGCCCGCATCTTTACCATCACCTTATCCGTCTGCTCATCCACCTATTGTGCCAAACCTGGATATGGTCTGCGATGCAATTCCTCGCACTGCTGTGGATTTAGTGCACAATCCGAATCCAGATGAAATTGGGGTTTCCGCTCGTTGGCTGTTGCTTTACTTGAAGACGAAAAACGATAAATTGATATCAAGGCCGGAATGCGCAAGTTCTTTATCATATTCGCGACAAAAGTATCTATCAAGGTTTCGACGCTGAAAGAATGCTAAGTGTACTTGATACAAACGCACATCATTGGTTTTACTACCCAGAGTGTGCTCAGCTTGCCTTGGATGCTTTCAAAACGCCTATAGGGTTCTTCAGCACTGAATCTTCGTTATTTTTCCCCTTACTGAGCACCCCATCCCAAGCAATACGTACAGCTCCAATAGTTATGCAGCTCATTTATAACCATATCATTTTCATCCAGCTCAGGCCGGGTGTATTGATTGAGTGGCCTGCCTGCTACCCTTATGCTCGAGGTAAAGGCCGCAAAGATGGTGGTGCTAGAATCCGAGGTGATCAATGGTATCCCTTATTCCAAAACGCATTTGAAAGCATGATCCAAATGGATATTCACCTTCCAGAAAATTTTGACGCTCATTCTCTTTCATCTGGATCTGAAGCAGAAGACTCTGATACTGAGCCAGTTGACCTAACTGGACCTTATCAACCTTAGTAGCACAATGTCTCTTCTTGCCCGCTCTTTCTTTTCTCTCTCTATTTTTCCTCTGCTTTTCTTACCCTCCCTTTTTTATTATTTGTACAATTAATCCAATATACACATGATTAAGCTACTGGATAAGTTGACCAGGAATATGTGAGCGCATGAGGCTGCAAAGTACTAGGTCATTCAATTATATAGATAGTCTGATGATACCACTTCCCTATTATATTTTCGTTGATAATACCTTCTGTAACCTTACAACAGCTTTATTTTCCAAATCCTCCATTATCAGCATGAGCTGTAAACTGCCAATCTGTATGTATGCAAAAAACAGCAACCCCTTGCGCACCTGCTTAGACTCTTTAGTTCCTTGATATGTTGGACCATCTATATGGTGTCTATTCAATGTTGGAGTTCAGCTTGCTGTCTAGGTAATAGCCAAGGGATAAAAGAAATATACTCGCATAGCTCGCCAAATGTAACTAGTGTGTACACAATGTTTCAAATATTAACAACTTTTAATAAAAATTGCAGTCATCATTTTTATCATTGGTATTTCCTTCGTCAATTTTAGATGACAACTGAAAGAACAAAAATATGTAATCGACGATCACATAAAAGATGCTCCTCTCCTTCACCCATAGTCCATTACTGCACCAGCAAATATATAAAGCTCACCGACACTATGGCCAATCACTTCGAATCACACCACTCTAGTTATGATTTTTTTCTTCCAGCACACTGTCGGTTTGTCCGTAAGGGAACCACTGTAATACTGACAAAGAAGCCAAAGTGCATCAAAAAATAGACTGAAATCAGGTTTATTTTGTTAACTTACCATCTTCAAATAGTAAACTGCGATTATCTCTTTGTCAGCCACGATGTAGCATTGAACGCTTGTATATTTATACAAGTCTTGTCAATTATTAACATTAAAAGCAAAAGGAAGCAAAACAAGTTTTCTTATTGTTCATCCTACTTGAAACCGTTGCAAAGACTATTAGTCTGGTTGTATTAAAAATGTTTATCCATACACACATGTCATATTTAAGACCTTTTTGAAAGGAATCACGGGATGAGTGCTTATGTTCTTGTCATTGCATGGAATATTAAAAGCATGTACTTGGAAAATGTTTCTTTTATGGAGGAAGATCCCCAAGTGAGAGTTTATTTTCTCTGCAGTCACGCATGCCGAGGTTTAGACAGAGGCGTCCTGCGTGCGAAAATAGTTGCTATGACGAAGAGTGAATCGTAGAGGTGTGGCTCATGCGAGTAAACATGCAAAGATGTACTTGATGAATGAAAAAGACTCGCCATAAAAAGCAACAACTCCTTCTCTGCATTATAAAGGTGTTTCGGTGGGAGGTGAGGGGGGGGGGGTGGTGCAAATAGACCTGCCCAATAATCTGGCTTGATTAGAACCACCTACGTTATTAATCAACAAGTTGATGGGAGCGAGACGCAGGATGTAGTAGGCTTCCTCTTAGCCGCGCCTGATTGGCTTGTTTATTCTCAGATAATAAATAAATTTAAAAATTTTTTTCGTTGACACTATTCCTTAGCCTTCCGGAAAGCACGTATGAGGCTATTTTTTCACAATCATGCAGGGAAGGGAAATACAATTCTAAATGCAAAATGGCATGTTCTAATCTATTGAGAATACAAAAAGGAAAAAACATTACGATCGAAGAACCGGTGGATCCATGGGCGGGTGCCTACCACATCCTGCGTCTCGCTCCCATCAACTTGTTGATTGTATTGCGTTTTCTCTACTACAATCCCTGTTGATGGTCGCTCGTCTCCTGATGTGGTACAGTTCTCCGTTGGTGAAAAAATAGCTGCTGCAATTTCCGTACCCCGACGATGTTGTCGATTTGGCCGAAGGTAGTAGCGTTCAAACGTATCCGTATGCAAACTCCAATTTGCATGCATCTTGACTGTCTTGATGTCTATGCCTTACAGCACTGCCTTGGTTGCTGCGGCTGCCCGGATAGAGTGTGGCTTATAATGGCTCGTGTCAATGCCTGCCTCTTCCATGAGCGTCTTCAACCACCCTGCTGCGGTTGCTGTCTGAATGGAACGACGAAACCCAGGTCGATCTACATACGCCAAGAAAAACGTATGGTCGTCTGCTAATGATGATCCGGTGGCAATGGCTTCGCGAGTACTGTCGTGCGCTCAATGAATAAAGCAGTGGTATACACTGGACAAACATCTTGGTCAGAGAGCGGTCGAATATTGGACACCTTTGCCTGGCTTTCTTTAGGTTCATGGATGAGTAATGTCAATCCCTTCAACTTATTATCGTGATCACGAAAAACTGTGACATCTCGCCATTGTAATTGTCCAAGATCAGATCGTATACGCCACATGGATGCTATCGCCAAAAGAACCAGTGTTTTATGTTGCAGTTTTACCAGTGACAACTTGCTTGAGGGTCCCCACGACTGCACCAGCTTCAACAAAACATCCACATCCCAGATTTCATCTGCGGAGTTTGGCAGTCGCACTTCTTTTCGTCTGGCAGCTTGGGAAAATGATTGCATCAAACGGTCTGACGCAATATCACCCTTCATCGGGTCCATGACCTTATAAACCGATGCCAACGCCGATCGTGTCGTGTTCATATGTGTAAGCGAAATGCCTTGTTTTTGTAGACCCAACAAATAACGGGCGATTAACTAGATATCCAATTGTCGTGGATCCTTGCCTTGGTCAGTACACCATGATGCCCACCGACGCCAGATGTTATCGTACGTTTCTTTTGTAGACTTGCGAACCTGACCTTCTAAGAAAGCACAGAGTTCCCCAGTTAATCCAGCTTGCGAGTGCGTCTGCTTGATAAGTGCCATGCGATCAAAGACCATTTCCGGGAAATCCTCAGCTGCAACGGCTTGCCCTTGCTGTAACTCTGTACCATTGGATACCAAAATTGAGTGGGCTAGTTGGGCGTCACCAGAATTGCCGACGTGACACGATCGTCTTGTATGATACTGGTGTTCACCTGATATAGTTCCCGAATATCATGCAATAATTTATTACCTTCCATATGAACATAAACTTTAATGTTTCCTTGAATGATTGCAGTTGGGTTATACGCTTTGGTATCATCAATTCCGTGTGCTTCTTTGCAAGAAAGACACCATTAGTAAACGATAAGGTATACGCATAGCCGCTGGTCCCTCTTGAATTTAAGATAATATTTTAAGTATCTATTATAAAGTGTATTAAATATAGATGAAACGTTTTTACTAACCTTTCCAATCTATGGCAATAATCGATTCGGAGCAGCCCATCCGCAGGAGTCTTGACAAGATTGTAGCATTGGTTCGAATGTTTTTTGCCTGTTGTTTGAGAACAATCGAATTGTAAGCTTTATCTTTTTTCCACTCGTTGCTACTAAGGTCATGTAATTTTCCATCAAAACATGCTGTGGCTATAAGATCAACTTTACTACCATATGGTGCTTCATTCGACGAGGAGACAAATCCAGCGATGGTTTGTAACACAATGATTTCATCTTTTGTTGTTTGAGCCACGCATTCACCACTATAAAATTCATTAGGGTAATATGGAAGATAGGTCCCATATTTTTAATTTATCCATCTCATGCAATTTTTTTTATTAATCCATACTTTTTAAATATGTTTTCTATTTCTAATAATATTGTCTTTACATATATACTTTTATTACAGTTATTAATATTATTTATTTTATTAAAAAGTTTTATATATTTATATAATTTATTACATAATTCATCATTTTTATAATTATTTGAGACATCATTTTTATAATTATTTTGAACATTATTTTTATTAAATTTTGGATCAACCTTTATATTTTCATCTGTATTAACAATATTATTAACATTAGTATTAATATTAGTAACAATGTTTTGTTCTTTTTGATTTTTATTTAAATTTATTTGTTCAAATATATTACAAGGAGAATTCATATTATCTTCAATATTAGATTCAGATGAATTATTATATATTTTCTCTTTTTTGTTTTGATTATTATTAATTTCATTATAAATTACTTTTCTTTTTTTTATATTATTTTTTTCTTTTTGTTTTTTTCTTCTTTTTATTTTATAGTTAATATAATAATCTTCTTTTCCTTTTATTATATAAATTTTAAAAGATTTTGTTATTTCATCAAATTCTATATTAAACTTTTTTATATTATGAGTCTCTATTTGTTTCATTATAAACATTCGTTTTATATTCTTTAAAAATGAATCTTCATGAATTATATCTTCTAAATTATCTTTATTATTATTATCCATTATGATTATTTTTTATTTTAACAAAATTCAATTTTTATCCATTTCATACATCTTATAATTTCAAAATATGAGACTTATAATGGATGTACTCAATTCATCATAAGAAAAGGTCAACAACCTGTTTCCAAATCATATTTTGTTTCTCATATTATCTTTCCTATACTTACTCCCTCATTTTTATCTTGGTGTATCTGAACAAAATGTCAAGCAAAACAGCAAATCTTCTGAATACCGTGTTTTCTGATTCGTCAGTCTGTTCACTCCAGTCATCGAATTGTGAGATACTATATATAGATGTATGAATTTGAAAACGCTTTGTTTGTTATTTCATATCCTTTTACCACTCATGTTTAATACTTACACTTGCTGAAGGATACAAAGCATTCTATATAAATCCGAATTCTTGTGCCAGCAATACTTTGCTTGAAGCTTGTAGATGTTCTCAATGATGCTGTCTGGTTCGAAGATTGTTCTATATCCCAACAAATTATCCAGCGTTAGTAATTGCAGTGTGTTATGGTTTTTATCACTTTTTGTTTTTTACCTTTCTGATATTAATTCATCAAATACTCTTATGCATTCATCAGAGAAGCCGAATGTTTCAGACACAGAGAGTTCGATCAAGGATGTCATTTGCGAGGATGTCAAGATCGTTTTGGTAAATGCGATTGATTCTGGAGAGATAAGGCTTACAATACTTGACAAACACAACCTATTTTGAGTATAATGATAAGTTAGTTAGATTCATCCATATTTATTTACAGCAATGATTGAACAGTACTTTATGTTGATTTCCATTTGGTTCGTCCATCCATCTTCATTCAGCAAACTTTCTGCTGCTGACGCCAGCAACCGATCCTGAATTGAAACTCTTTGTTCCATCATTTTTCGAAGAAAAGTCCCTTGTGCATCGTTCATAAGCTCTCCATTTACCTGTCTAAAAAGAATACCACATATCGTGAGAACTTGTATACAAGTATAAATGTTATTCAAATAAGTGTTATTACTGTAAATATTAATTTTCTTACATAACAGATAAAAAATTTCATCAATTTCTGAACGTCGTCCAAATCATCATACACCGTATCTTCATCGACGTTGACTACTTGCTCTATGCCTACATCAATGTTGTCATTTTGTTCGTATTGGGTTCCGACGTCTGATCGTGTGCCATCAGCACTTCGTAGTCGTTCCGCAGCCGTTACAGCAGCTTGACCAAGAGTTCTCAAAGCATAAATGCGATACGTTTGGCAGTTTTCCCGCTGTACAAGAGCAAGAAAAAGAATGTTAGTAACTAGCAAGGAGACTATTATGTAACTGATAAACAAATAATACCAGTTCTTTCAATTCAATAAAGTTCTTATCCCAGGCTGCTGGATCGTATTTCGTTTTTCTAGTTTCATTAAAAAAAAGACATCAGTGTTTTTGAATGAAGTAATGTGTGTCGTTTAATTTAAATAATAAATACTTGAGTGCCAATTCGGGTTGCAGTTCTTGTAAAGCTTCATTAAATCGATTCATCCAGCAGGTAAAGTAACCTTGAGCACTTGAAATGCCTGTCTTCAGAGAGAAATCGGCAAGTTGAGCGCTGTATTTTGTTATAAACCCTTCCATTGTAGGTTTAGGTGAATTTAAAACGAATCACGTAATTCTGTAGAAAAAATCAAAGATAAATAATCTTTTAAACCACATAATTAAACCCTCATCTTACCTTTGCACCCTGGAAACGTTGTCATGGTGAAAATAAAAGTTCGCAAAAGCAGAAACGAAGAAAGAGTAACCTAGCTACAGGTTTTGATTTTGTCTGCTTTATTGAAATAAAAATTTCATTCAATGGGCCGCTGTTTATCAGTTTTGCTACAACTTGCAAAATAAAAACTTTACTAGCCTTTTATTTCACTTAATAAATATAACTATATATTCAAGATTTGGGTTTAGCTATATGAGGGACTATCCAATTTCCATGAGTTACTTTTTTGACTGTCGTCGTGCTTTAGGGAGCAGGGGTGGGGGGGGTCAATAAGCACTTTCATGCAGGATTATAAGTTTCGTAGAAACAAAACAATACGTCATTTATGCTCGTCATAGCCTGGACCGTCGGGTCCCATCCACATAAACTGATTAATCTTCAAGCTGATAATTAGTTGTTTTGATCATGTTCCTCCCTCTGGAAATTATCGCTTTTGGCCTGTGTGGCAAAAGCAACCCCAAGCTGATTACTTTGACTCAAATTCCTTTGAACGCGTCAGTTATGTACTCGCATTTTTTAAACCACTAAGTTGGAGCAAAAATCGACGAGGTTACTGATATTGTACAGTCTTCTGATGACCTTGATGGTCAGCTATATCGATGTTCTTTTTTTAACAAAAAGGCACTAAGTGCAGCATTAAGACGTGATCGCAGATCATTCAATTCTGTACCGTTCAAGGGATTGGCGCGATAGCCAAATGATGCTATCATAACATCATTATAAAGAAGTTTTGACTTACCAAAAAAGCTAACATTCCAAAGTCTCGGAAGCAGGTGGGATGCCGTAGATACGAACATTAGTAAAAACATTATTCTATTGGCTTTCTACAATTCAAACTCTATCTTGTCCTGGAATGAAGCGACAAAGAGTCTACTACCCAATAGAAGGCTACTCTATCATAGCACATAATCAGCGATAGCTGATCATAGCTGTCGTCGGCGTCAAACCCCTTATATAAATAGCTCAAGGCTCTTCTTTTTTGCAGAACAAAAAATAGTATAACTTTGAGTGAGAATCGTTATCTCGATGTGAAAGCATCCTAATGCTAGTTTGTCAAGGCACTGAATAGACCAGACGTAGTCAAGTACATATACCGAGGTACTTTGCCTCTTAATATTTTGCTAAATACATATTAGTTACTATACGTGCCAATTATTACATTATTACGAGTCGGTTGGACAATATCAATGTAGATGATCTGCTGGATAACCTTATGGCAGGTATGATACAGTTATACATGCCACATGGATCAATGTTCGGATGCATCATAATATGATATAACTTGTTGATAAATCCTCGATAATGAGAATACATTACTGTACATAATAAGTATTTGTGCTGTTTATACGGCTATGTTTATACCTCTTTTCTAACCTAGATATAAGGATATGGTGTATTTCATCTATAACCGCCAATGTTTCAATTTTGAGATTTCAAATGCCGCTTCTTTATTTGGTAATATTCAAATAATAGTAGGGAAATCGTCACGACGGTGTGAGCTGTAAGTTCGGGAAGTATATCTTTCTACAAGAGTGATAGCTTCGGGAGTTGGTAGTTCTTGGGAATAAGCATCTATAAAACGCCACACCCTTCCATAAAATCGTCTAATTAGTGTAGGTACTTCGTCTGGGGGCGAAACAGTATCCAGGAACTTTGGTAAGTTTTCTTTCAAAGCTTTAAAACTGTAATCACAATTGATTCGTGCATGGTACTTTGCTTGGCCCCAATATCGTTCGATCCAATTGCACTCGCAATGGAATTTTGGATATAGCTCAAAAATGTGACCCGCGTTCTCCACAGCTTCACAAAGGGCTGTCTTTTGATCTCGAAAGTCGGGCTGAGCACCAAGAAAATGTCTAGCACAACACTTGCTATCGTCCGCTTCTTCTTTTTTGCAATCCATTCGCCAAACTTTTCCAGGTCTATACGGGTCTTCCTCAAACCAAAGTCCACGCTCATTCAAAATGATTTTTATCCCCTTGAATTGGCATACTTGCTGTTTGTCGGCCGTGACTATCGTGACACCTCGCTTGCGTTTCTTAATGTTTTCTTCGATATTCATGTACATCCTTTGTGTTTTCTTTTCTTTGGTTGCTTCATCGATAAAGTAGCTGTCCCGATACACGTGCATGCTGCAGTCATGCTCTGCGTTATCCACTCCACACCGCTTTGGATCCTTGCACATAGTTCTCGCCAGTAATGCATCACTTGGGTAAGCGTTATGATTACTACTTTGATCGAATATAAATAATGCTTGACAACCAGGGTGCAAAAGGTCAAATAGTGGGATCGCATCTTCTTCTAACTGCTTAACCATGTCTTTGCTGGTCCAATACTGTTCTCGGTTAGCCCCTGCATAGAAGTATGTACGCGAGGTCCATATTCCAGATCGCATTGTGCCATGACACGCGCATTGGAACTCGGATATCATAATGGATTGTCCAGGGCTTTTGTTGCGTAGGATACTCTCGCCGTCTGCCAGCCATAGCTTTTGTTTACCGTCGTTTGCATAGAAGGTTGACTCATCATGGGTAACCATAACAATTTTCTTTTGATCAGGCGCTAAAGATGGCTCAATGATGATTTCTGCACGTTGTCCTTCGTACGAGTCCATCCGCTTCTTGTACTCCACCATTCGTTTAGCCCATTTTAATCGGTATGCTACCACGTCATCTCGTTCGTGCCCGTCGTAATATATATCCTTGCTGTTTTTGCGGTATCGATAACCCCACTCAGACATATATCGCCATAATGTCGTCTGTGATACTGAGCCTGGAACACCAAGTATCTCAGGGATGATACTTTCATTGATAACTTTAACAAAAGCAGGGAGGTTACGCAGTTCGAGTTTTTGACCGCCTATCAATAGACGGATTCGTTCTTCCACGGACTCGTCACTGAGGAGTGATTCTCTTTTTACATGCTTCCCTTGTTGATGTGTTGAGATGGACCCAGAATCACGGAATTCGCGCGCCCAGTAGCGGATGGCCTTTGCCCTGTACTCTTTTGATGGGGTGGTCCAGATATCGACAGCAGCTCTTTGAGAACTATCAATACTTTTCAATCCCTGTGACCGATAGTGATAGTACCGGTATACAGCTTGTATTTTTGCCATTTGAAAAGCACCCATAGTATTGAGCGTGCTTCCTTTGTTTGCTACCGGCTTTATAAGTGCTTTTAAAGATGCTAAAAGCTGTGAGAGTTGCTCCTCACCATCAATATTGGCGACGCTGTGGTTTTTGTGGAGAGCTTTAGAAGAGTTCTCTGAATGTATACACGGCGTTTGCGTCACCTTCGTGAAATAATCATCGACCTTTTTGCAACCTTCTGCAGCAGCTCTTGCTTCTGTTCGTCTTCGCCAGTTGGTCGTACGGGAGTCTTTGTTATATACTACACGCATGGATTTATCTGCATCGTCTTTCCAGGCCAGCGATAGTTTTGCAGCCTGTTGTAATATATTGTGCGTCAGGTCAAGGAGTTCCCAATCGTTGATATTATCGTCGTCGTTATTGTCACTTAGTTCAGATCCTGCATCGACATATGTAATAGTCGCTGGACTTTCCGAAGCTATGAATCTTCCATATTCATCGTGTTGTTTTCTCTTTGCGTTCTCTCTAGCGCTCTTCTGGCGCTTCCTAAGTGGTGGCATCTGGTAGAAGGAATAGGGTGTGGCCACATCTCAGCTCTTACGAATAACAGTGTAAGGCATTAGATACTAACCAAATTAGGAAATTTCACGTGAGTATTATTTACTCGAATATGCATGAGTGCGTTTCAATTTTCCCCTTCGCCTGCAAAATTTTCCTAAACCAGCAGACTTTGACGACTATCCTCTCCTTCCCAAAACATTTTTTTAAGAAGTTAGCCAAATAGAAATAGACTAAAGATGCTTAAGAAACAATTGATTTGGTTGCTTTTGTGGTAAACTTGTTTTTGGGGGTGCTGATAGCTTTCAATTTTGGGGAAAATTTTGGTGGTTATAGATGGAATACACCATATCCTTATATCTAGGTTAGAAAAGAGGTATAAACATAGCCGTATAAACAGCACAAATACTTATTATGTACAGTAATGTATTCTCATTATCGAGGATTTATCAACAAGTTATATCATATTATGATGCATCCGAACATTGATCCATGTGGCATGTATAACTGTATCATACCTGCCATAAGGTTATCCAGCAGATCATCTACATTGATATTGTCCAACCGACTCGTAATAATGTAATAATTGGCACGTATAGTAACTATGGTGCATACTGTCTTAAACCATGAATAAATTCGATCACCGACATGAAAAAAAAGGAATCCTATCAGGGCTGTCTGAAATGAAGTTATCGATATTCTGCGACGTAGAACATGTTTATAAAGGTATTCTTAACACATTGTACGTTTTTGTTTTTTGAGAAAAGCATTTCTCATCGCTCTGATAGCCTTTGAAGTTTTGTCGGGATATGAAAAGTTACTAAGTAGGTGGAAGATTTCGACAGTTGTTTGGGCAAGGAGAAGAATTTTTTTTGGCAGTGTGTAACCATAGATGTCCCAAGGTTACACACAAATAGCTGGCTTATCCAGTAATATGAGTGCGTTACTGCTCTTCTTACTCACCCATTTTCCCAATAACACGCCTGTGGTGAACCACATTAATACACTGCTTAAGATAACAACAATAAGATATTCGGTTAAACATTATAGCACACATATATGAATACTACAGTATCTCGGCTAAGCACTATTGAGTAAAACCTCTCACTCGGATGATTGACCTTACGTGAACAGGACAATGAACCTATCAACAGGTACCTCGGCAATTACATCAGCTAATGCCGGTTTCAAAGATGTGCCCGATTAACATAGCGACTTCAAGAGAAGTTCTGATACGTCCTTGATCCTTCCTCTATCACATAGTTTATCCACTAGTCGGATGAATTGATATCGCCGTCTTAATAGCTAGAAGATAAAAAAGCTTTATCTTTTGTTGGATTAAAACATCATCTCAAAGATATTTAATCTTGTCTCTTATTATTATCAAAGCTCTATCATCACAGAACCCGAAAATGGCTCCCAGATCCAACAAACAAAAACGCGCCTTAGAACAGCTTCAAAGCTCAAAAAACGGACGATTTCAAAAAGTCGCAAGACTAGAAGAATCGCCGATTGTCGAGATCCGGACTTCATCTGACGCGACCGAACAAGAACCAAACGACTTCGAGATTCTCACTGCATTCGAAGAGGCAACAGAAACCACAACGACAACGACGACAGCGACCACAACAAGCCAAAAGTTTCCTTTTATGTGGGATAATAAAGCAGATTCCAAGTCCCGTGGCAAATATTGGGGACATGGCAGAACCACAAAATACTACCAGCTACAGAAAGCATCGGAAAAGAAGAAAGGGAACCACGAGATTACTTCCTTCTTTCATAGCGCTGATAAAGTAGAGGTTGTTTCGGAGGACTTTGTGCCAGTGCTGACTGTCGAAGAAGCATTCTTGAAACTGACCCCAATTGTCCAGCCTCAAATGAACTCGAAAAATGACAAGGAGCGAAACATGAGCGACTACGAGCTACGAAAACACATCGGCGCTCATGCGTATTTTCGCGAGCTGCTCAAGGGCAAAGGAGTAATGGAAGCTTCCAAGGCAGCAGCTGAAATCGCGTGGATAACACCATCTAGGTTTTACCGCCCTGAAGCGATCAAGACCTATGCCAAGGAATATATACGATATGGTAAAATCTCAGTACACCAGCAAGGCAAACACATCAAACGCCTTTCCCTTTTAAGCGATGAAGATGTCAAAGCAGCAGCGCAACAGTGGTTGACAAACACCAAGCCAGAGAAGCGAAGCATTCCAGAAATGCTAAAGTTCGTCAACGAAATTGCCATCATGGACGCCCTTGGTCTTCCCGGACACATCTCAGCTTCTGTACTTCGCAATTATTTGATCGAATGGGGCTACAAGTATCGGCCCAACCAAAAAAACATCTACTACGACGGCCATGAACGTGAAGATGTCGTAAAATACAGACAAGAGTGGGCCGCCCAAATGGTAGACTACAGCCGCTTCATGGAGACGTACGACGAGGATAACGTTCTGGTCGAGTACCAACCTGTTCTGCCAGAGGGTCAGAAGAAAATCGTTATGGTCACGCATGACGAATCTACCTTTTATTCGAACGACTGCAAAACAAGCTTGTGGTTACAAGAAGACGAAAACCCTATCCGAAAGAAGGGCCCAGGTGGATCTATCATGGTCAGCGAGTTCCAATGCCCGTGCCACGGAACCATGAGGATCAAAGGTTGGAAATCTCGCCATCTGTTCAAAGCGGGAACCAACCGTGAAGGCTACTGGACGTCAAAAGATATGGTCAACCAGCTCAAAGCAGATGCTATACCGTTGTTCGAGAAGCTCCACCCCAGCTGCCAGGCTTTATTTTTGTTTGATCAATCAAGCAATCACAGCGCGTATGCACCAAGCGCTAAATTGGTGAGCTGCTTTGGTCTAAAAGATAAAGTGCTGAACTCAATTGATGAGCGCGTTATCTTGCCAGGTAAATTCACTAGACCTAATGGAGAAAAGGTGATCCAAAACTTTTACACCTTGGAAGTCAAGCAAAAAAAGACAAGGAAGGGGTTCAAGGAAGAGCGTATCTGGACGAGGAAAGGCATCAAGACCATCTTGGAAGAACGTGGACTCGGCCGTTGGAAAGAATTCGAAGCGAAAAAGAAGCATTGGAAAACCAACTGCGAGCAACCACCAAGTCAAGATCGTACCTGCTGTCCCTACCACATGCTCGAAGGTCAACCTGACTTTGTCTCCCAGAAGACAGCATTGCACGAAGTTGTCGAAAGAGCTGGTCATCTCTTTGCCCTCTATCCTAAGTATCATTGTGAGACTAATTGGATTGAGAGGTATTGGGGTGCAGGGAAACGAATTGCGAGAAAGGAGTGTGACTACTCGTTTTCAGCTCTTGAAAAAAGGCTCGAGGATTTCTTGGATCAGGTATCTCCACCTGATGAACCACCTGCAGAAATTCGCCGTTACTACAACCGTTGCTGGCGCTATATCCAAGCATATAATGATATGAAAACTGGAAGCGAAGCTCTTAAGCTAGTTGAAAAGTTTACGACACGTAGATATCGATCTCATAGAAGAATTGGAACAGAAGATTGAATCTACACATTGCTATCAATATATTAAAACGTCTACTTTTGAATTGGCTGACAATGCCTTTATGGCGGTTATTCTTTTATCCAGCGGCACTTTAAAATATCTCAATTTTCGACAATTCATGGTTTAAGACAGTATGCACCATAATATGTATTTAGCAAAATATTAAGAGGCAAAGTACCTCGGTATATGTACTTGACTACGTCTGGTCTATTCAGTGCCTTGACAAACTAGCATTAGGATGCTTTCACATCGAGATAACGATTCTCACTCAAAGTTATACTATTTTTTGTTCTGCAAAAAAGAAGAGCCTTGAGCTATTTATATAAGGGGTTTGACGCCGACGACAGCTATGATCAGCTATCGCTGATTATGTGCTATGATAGAGTAGCCTTCTATTGGGTAGTAGACTCTTTGTCGCTTCATTCCAGGACAAGATAGAGTTTGAATTGTAGAAAGCCAATAGAATAATGTTTTTACTAATGTTCGTATCTACGGCATCCCACCTGCTTCCGAGACTTTGGAATGTTAGCTTTTTTGGTAAGTCAAAACTTCTTTATAATGATGTTATGATAGCATCATTTGGCTATCGCGCCAATCCCTTGAACGGTACAGAATTGAATGATCTGCGATCACGTCTTAATGCTGCACTTAGTGCCTTTTTGTTAAAAAAAGAACATCGATATAGCTGACCATCAAGGTCATCAGAAGACTGTACAATATCAGTAACCTCGTCGATTTTTGCTCCAACTTAGTGGTTTAAAAAATGCGAGTACATAACTGACGCGTTCAAAGGAATTTGAGTCAAAGTAATCAGCTTGGGGTTGCTTTTGCCACACAGGCCAAAAGCAATAATTTCCAGAGGGAGGAACATGATCAAAACAACTAATTATCAGCTTGAAGATTAATCAGTTTATGTGGATGGGACCCGACGGTCCAGGCTATGACGAGCATAAATGACGTATTGTTTTGTTTCTAAGAAACTTATAATCCTGCATGAAAGTGCTTATTGACCCCCCCACCCCTGCTCCCTAAAGCACGACGACAGTCAAAAAAGTAACTCATGGAAATTGGATAGTCCCTCATATAGCTAAACCCAAATCTTGAATATATAGTTATATTTATTAAGTGAAATAAAAGGCTAGTAAAGTTTTTATTTTGCAAGTTGTAGCAAAACCGATAAACAGCGGCCCATTGAATGAAATTTTTATTTCAATAAAGCAGACAAAATCAAAACCTGTAGCTAGGTTACTCTTTCTTCGTTTCTGCTTTTGCGAACTTTTATTTTCACCATGACAACGTTTCCAGGGTGCAAAGGTAAAATGAGGGTTTAATTATGTGGTTTAAAAGATTATTTATCTTTGATTTTTTCTACAGAATTACGCGATCGTTTTAAATTCACCTAAACCTACAATGGAAGGGTTTATAACAAAATACAGCGCTCAACTTGCCGATTTCTCTCTGAAGACAGGCATTTCAAGTGCTCAAGGTTACTTTACCTGCTGGATGAATCGATTTAATGAAGCTGTACGAGAACTGCAATCCGAATTGGCACTCAAGTATTTATTATTTAAATTAAACGACACACATTACTTCATTCAAAAACACTGATGTCTTTTTTTTAATGAAACTAGAAAAACGAAATACGATCCAGCAGCCTGGGATAAGAACTTTATTGAATTGAAAGAACTGGTATTATTTGTTTATCAGTTACATAATAGTCTCCTTGCTAGTTACTAACATTCTTTTTCTTGCTCTTGTACAGCAGGAAAACTGCCAAACGTATCGCATTTATGCTTTGAGAACTCTTGGTCAAGCTGCTGTAACGGCTGCGGAACAACTACGAAGTGCTGATGGCACACGATCAGACGTCGGAACCCAATACGAACAAAATGACAACGTTGATGTAGGCATAGAGCAAGTAGTCAACGTCGATGAAGATACAGTGTATGATGATTTGGACGACGTTCAGAAATTGATGAAATTTTTTATCTGTTATGTAAGAAAATTAATATTTACAGTAATAACACTTATTTGAATAACATTTATACTTGTATACAAGCTCTCACGATATGTGGTATTCTTTTTAGACAGGTAAATGGAGAGCTTATGAACGATGCACAAGGGACTTTTCTTCGAAAAATGATGGAACAAAGAGTTTCAATTCAGGATCGGTTGCTGGCGTCAGCAGCAGAAAGTTTGCTGAATGAAGATGGATGGACGAACCAAATGGAAATCAACATAAAGTACTGTTCAATCATTGCTGTAAATAAATATGGATGAATCTAACTAACTTATCATTATACTCAAAATAGGTTGTGTTTGTCAAGTATTGTAAGCCTTATCTCTCCAGAATCAATCGCATTTACCAAAACGATCTTGACATCCTCGCAAATGACATCCTTGATCGAACTCTCTGTGTCTGAAACATTCGGCTTCTCTGATGAATGCATAAGAGTATTTGATCAATTAATATCAGAAAGGTAAAAAACAAAAAGTGATAAAAACCATAACACACTGCAATTACTAACGCTGGATAATTTGTTGGGATATAGAACAATCTTCGAACCAGACAGCATCATTGAGAACATCTACAAGCTTCAAGCAAAGTATTGCTGGCACAAGAATTCGGATTTATATAGAATGCTTTGTATCCTTCAGCAAGTGTAAGTATTAAACATGAGTGGTAAAAGGATATGAAATAACAAACAAAGCGTTTTCAAATTCATACATCTATATATAGTATCTCACAATTCGATGACTGGAGTGAACAGACTGACGAATCAGAAAACACGGTATTCAGAAGATTTGCTGTTTTGCTTGACATTTTGTTCAGATACACCAAGATAAAAATGAGGGAGTAAGTATAGGAAAGATAATATGAGAAACAAAATATGATTTGGAAACAGGTTGTTGACCTTTTCTTATGATGAATGGAGTACATCCATTATAAGTCTCATATTTTGAAATTATAAGATGTATGAAATGGATAAAAATTGAATTTTGTTAAAATGAAAAATAATCATAATGGATAATAATAATAAAGATAATTTAGAAGATATAATTCATGAAGATTCATTTTTAAAGAATATAAAACGAATGTTTATAATGAAACAAATAGAGACTCATAATATAAAAAAGTTTAATATAGAATTTGATGAAATAACAAAATCTTTTAAAATTTATATAATAAAAGGAAAAGAAGATTATTATATTAACTATAAAATAAAAAGAAGAAAAAAACAAAAAGAAAAAAATAATATAAAAAAAAGAAAAGTAATTTATAATGAAATTAATAATAATCAAAATAAAAAAGAGAAAATATATAATAATTCATCTGAATCTAATATTAAAGATAATATGAATTCTCCTTGTAATATATTTGAACAAATAAATTTAAATAAAAATGAAAAAGAACAAAACATTGTTACTAATATTAATACTAATGTTAATAATATTGTTAATACAGATGAAAATATAAAGGTTGATCCAAAATTTAATAAAAATAATGTCCAAAATAATTATAAAAATGATGTCTCAAATAATTATAAAAATGATGAATTATGTAATAATTCATATAAATATATAAAACTTTTTATTAAAATAAATAATATTAATAACTGTAATAAAAGTATATATGTAAAGACAATATTATTAGAAATAGAAAACATATTTAAAAAGTATGGATTAATAAAAAAAATTGCATGAGATGGATAAATTAAAAATATGGGACCTATCTTCCATATTACCCTAATGAATTTCATAGTGGTGAATGCGTGGCTCAAATAACAAAAGATGAAATCATTGTGTTACAAACCATCGCTGGATTTGTCTCCTCGTCGAATGAAGCACCATATGGTAGTAAAGTCGATCTTATAGCCACAGCATGTTTTGATGGGAAATTACATGACCTTAGTAGCAACGAGTGGAAAAAAGATAAAGCTTGCAATTCGATTGTTCTCAAACAACAGGCAAAAAACATTCGAACCAATGCTACAATCTTGTCAAGACTCCTGCGGATGGGCTGCTCCGAATCGATTATTGCCATAGATTGGAAAGGTTAGTAAAAACGTTTCATCTATATTTAATACACTTTATAATAGATACTTAAAATATTATCTTAAATTCAAGAGGGACCAGCGGCTACGCGTATACCTTATCGTTTACCAATGGTGTCTTTCTTACAAAGAAGCACACGGAATTGATGATACCAAAGCGTATAACCCAACTGCAATCATTCAAGGAAACATTAAAGTTTATGTTCATATGGAAGGTAATAAATTATTGCATGATATTCGGGAACTATATCAGGTGAACACCAGTACCAGTGATAGTCAATTTTTATCTGTGACACATAGAATCATCTGCTCAACATGGTCGCAAGTGTTGATCAAAAGCCAAACAAAGATGCTCTTCGTGGTATCGTTAACTTCACAGATGCCGGCACCAACACCTCCAATATCCCTCCAGTCATGGTAGCAACCCCAAAATCTCATAAACGAAACAATGATCAAGTCGATCAGTGAAAAATTATCGGAAATTCTCCTTCTTTATTACTACACAAATTACTACACAGACAACAGCAGCTTTTTTCATTTACTGATAAACCTTCCAAACACACATTTCATCTAACTCATTATTCTTCCATCAAACCTATGTACAGCAAACATGCAAACATTTCAGCCTTTTCTTTTTCGAAAACAAGATTATCATTATTACATATTTTCTCCTGCTAACATAATAATACTTATACAATCAGAGCTCAACATTGCTGATAAGGCCGGGGCAGCAGATGCGATTGTTGTTAAAGATGCTTTGTACATGCGCATGTCGGACAGAATTTTCGGTATTGCCGAGTTACCAAGCGACGTTGCCAGTAAATTAAACATTGAAAAAGTTGACCACGAAGCAGTTGCAATTAGTAATATAGCTGCCCGAAAAGATCCATTGTTGCCTCAAAAACATAGCACGCAGCTGATGTACCCTGATGGGTCTACAAGTAAAGAAAAGGACGACTTGTATACTTTTATTGCTTCACAGCTCGGCACAAGTATGCTGTAACTCCTATGCACACCCGAGGAGTTCACATTGTTTCAGAGATTTATGCAATCGTTGAATGGTGCTGAGCCAAAACCGTCCGATTGGATGCGTTATAGCCAGTTATGGAATCAAAGCAACAATACAAATGGTGAAAATATATTTTACAAACACCGGAAAGCCTCAAAACCCACTACAACGTATGAAAAGCAGCCCAGTCAGCCAGCGATACTAAAATGCAAAACAGCACAGTAGTCAACACGATGACTGAAATTCTACAATCACCGAGTCGAAACGCTAGTGACCCACCACCAGCTATGTCAACTATCCAATGAAATGACTGTTAGTAATCTAATTATGAAATCAGTTAGACGGGACCGCGTCAATAACTGTGTTTGCTTTTCCTCAGACTCCAACTGTCTAATTCTCTTTTTAACGAGGTACAAAATATCCATATCTAGCTTTTCTGTAATACAAAGATTGTCAGCAAATTGCTGAAAATGGCATTTTCGCTCTTTGTAGAAAGGACCGGCACGGCAGAGGGTGCTTCTTCAAGCTCATCATTCTCATCTACTAAACATATTCTTGTATTGATATACAAAATACATTTTTTCTTACACATATCATGTAATAAAGTTTTACCTGGTCTTTCGCTGTGATGCTTTAAAAGGCCATCAACACGTTGCTCTAAACTTTGAACCTCGTGGATATCCTCGTCCTCATCATCGGGAATAATCGCGATTGTGGAGGTATCATCATTTTGGCTCGTGAGTGTACCGAGAAGCTGATTCAATTCAGTATCAACTTCCCAATCAACACCAGGCTGGGTAGTTTCCTCCCACAGGTCTCCAAAGTCAGAAGTCCAGTGCGTCGGAAGCAGTTTGCAATGGTTACTTCTTAAACCTGCTCCCAGGCAATAATTGACCAGTCCAAAGCTTGCTTAAACGATACTTTATAAAGATCGTTCAATTCGCCAGTACTGTATCGGATCATAGCTTGGCGATACAAGCAACTCCTAATGATATTGATTTGATCAGTACTTTTCCCATTTATTTAAAATTGCAAATACTGATATCAGTATCTGAAAATTTGTGTTCTTACTTATAGTTCTTTTTGAATGATGCGATAATGCCTGCATCCAAAGGCTGGTAATGGGCAGTTGTGTTTGGTGGTAACAAACAAAGCTCGATGTTACTCAACTCAATATCAAGGTTGACATGCGACGGTGCATAATCGAGCAAAAGCAGTGCCTTTTTGCTTTTATGAGCAGCGAAGACAGCTGAATCTAATTTACGTAGCACCAGATGTCCTTTGTCATCTATGCCTTTGTATATAATAATACTTGTAAATGTCAGCAACTACATAAGATAATAAAGATGCAGAATATAAGCACTCGATATGTAAACATTGGTTTTTGTTTCAACGTTAAGCATACTTTTTTTGCACCAGAGTCTCTTCCTCCAGGATGACGGCCAATGAAGTATGGTCCGAGGTTATGGGTACCATCACCATTACATGCAAGGACAACGGTCACTGGACTTTTGTCTACCTTCAGACCACCAACTGGAGCATCAGAAATTGTGCGACGTGTACTTGCTTATAAAACAATCCAGTCTCATCAATGTTGTAGATGCGTTCCGGTGGAAAATTGGCAACCTTAGCTTTTACAACATCGACAGCTTGTTGGACGGCGCGCTCATCGACGCCAATAGCACCAGATTCGCCATGGATGCTATATGTCTTTAGGTTGTGACGTTTCATGAACCTAGTCATCCATCCATCCGAGAACTGGAAATCATCGATACCCCAAGCGTCTTGCCTGAATTTTGGCTTTGCAAAACGATGGAAGTACGGTTGAATGGCTGAATGACAGAAGCCATACTGGCCACAAACTTCTAGTTCTTCTTTCAATTGTGGTGGAGCAGGCGAGTTTTACGCTAGCCTCGGCCATCCCCAAAACTCGCTCCTTTGTTCCTCAAATTGTTAGAAATGGTTGATTGGCCTATGGTTGATTGGCCTGATGTATAATTTAACTTGAATTCCTCCGTTTCCACTGTGCAAGGCGGCGTTGACTGATTTTTGTATCCTTTTCCTTGTGCTGGATAATAGCAAGCTTTTGACGGAGGGAAAGAGTATGAGTTTGCTTCATAGTGAGAAGTGAGAAGGTAGTAAAGTAATCAAGCTTTAAGACAGCAAGCATCTATTTACTGTGTATATAGTGTAACAGACGAAAACCCCACTCATTATATCGGGCATCGAATTCGGTAGGGTGATCATTCGCTAAGCCGATCACGTTTGGGACATGACTGAGGTGATCGGCTTAGCGAGCGGGCACTATTTTGTGTGGATTACCCAAAGGAAGAACAAGAAACCGCAAGTAGATTATATACCTCTCTAGGCTCTCAATATATGTATGTATATTAGCTACCGGTTTTCTTTATCTTTTGATTCGTATCATCGGTTCACTGATCACATCGATCAACAGCCTTTCCTTAATCTCCCTCCCTCTCTCTTTATCTCTTTACAACAAAGTCTTACAAGCTCATATAAATGTATATATCCATTTAATAGCTTTTAAGGATAGAGTATAGTCTACTCTTTATATACTCTTGATCAACGTGATGCTTATGCGCAGTAGATGCATATGGATATATTTCTGTAAGTGACATCCAAATCAGTTCACTATGTATTATAAGTTTAATATGCTAATCTCACACTATTTTCACCTACCAATACTATGCAAATACCCATTAGAAAATATAATGCGCGCGCCCACTGGGATGTTCTCGCAGTCAAAGCTTGGCCGACATATTTGTCGTGCTGTTTATGATGTATAATACGTTCTCACAACAGTATTGACAAACGCTCGTTCACAGACAGCGCTGCCGTACAATAATCACCACCCAAAGAGACAGAGTTGAGAGTACTGGCCAAGTATGACAAAGTAATATACCTACACCGCGTAATACGTTGATCAGTTTGATAAGTCATTTTCTCCCTTTTATATATGTATCTTTATTTTCGACTCTCAGCATATGGAAATAACTACTAGATATTGTCTGTAACAGCATATGAATGACAGCTCCTTTAGTGGCTATGACGTCACTCAACCGAGTTTTATTATATCAAATATCTGCTGCTGTCCTGAGATTGGCATCATTATTATTACTATCATATGGAAATAAGAGTGAGACTCGTGATTACGGTAATGGTAAATGATCAGTTTGTTTTCGCCTCTCATATCATTTTTTTGTAACTACAAGTGTTACGAGCTCTAAATAATAGTAGGTGGGACCTGTGTCGAGCCAAGACAAAAAGTATGAGATTTGGATGAATGAATCAGCAATATTGCTCTCATACTGCCTGTTTTTTATTTTTGAGTTTGTAGTGAGGCAAGAAACAATTCAATGAAGATATAGAGAGGATTATATCTTTTAGTGAGCTGCGGGTGTAAGTAGGTCGGACAACAGATGCGGGCTTTATGCACTGATACTGAACAAGCTCGAAAACAGCATCTCGTTGTTGTATAGATTAATTCGTCTGACGGAATTATCCACAGTACGAGAGCCTCTGTGAACGTATCCTGTACCATGATAATGACTGAAAATGGGGTTTTAGAAGGTATTGAATCGAGTTGGCACCATTAAATGTATTTATTGATTTACATACATATTAACTTGTGCGTGTGAATAACCTCTATGTATTCTATAAGAGTGACAGTGCTGTACTAACACCTCCAGAGTAGTATGTCATTAAAATTTGATTATTGTGGACGTTCCTTGTGCGATAATTTAACGAAGGAGTTCCATTGATCGCATTGATCTAGATAATACATCATCAGATGTCGTTTAACGAGCTAATTCACTGAAATGTGTGTTATAATATCGGTTATCGCTGATGCCTCATACATGCCTGTCTAGCTTTTACGTCAAAAAGATAAAAAAGTAAAAGTGGTATGATAAGCTTATACTACATCGAACTATTTGCTTTAAGGGGCAAAGGCTGGCTGAAGCTAAAAAAAATTATGGTGGTGGCTGTAATTTCAGGCCCTAGTAATATTCCGTGGAAGAATACTAATTTTTTATTTTGTTTTCTGAGGTCGAGGCATGGCGCTTTTATAAAGCCGCGTTCTTGTGATGATTAAGATAGCAAAGGTTTATTGTGAAGTTACAATGCTATCTGTAGTATTACTAGGTATACAGTAGTCACGGTAATAGTTACTGTTTATGTAGCTAGGGATCATGTACACGGTTTTGTGGAGTATGCCTTGCAATGGTTTTGCGTCGTGCTCTTTTTTTTTTATTTTTGGGATATTAACATTGACACGGAACAAGGGTTCTGATGGTATACTTGACGACGCTAGCGCAGGCGCTATTCTTCTTTCTGCGGAGGGTTAATGGGTTTGTATCGTCGTTGCAGATGTTGATACCGTTGCTGTTGTTTGAGCAGTTGCCGATGCTGGGAATGACGGCTGGTGTTGCGGTGCTGT